GTTTAGCGTGTTTTTCCTAGGTATGTCATGTTCTTTCTTTTTTCTCTAGTCAAAGACTACAATAGGGATGTTATTTTGCTAAAATAAGAAGATACGAGTTATGGATTGTAGAGGTAAGAACCAACTCTATAAAAAAGCATCAGTAGGAAAGTAATAAATAAGGGTGACGCCACTATAGCTAGAGGGTGAATTTTAAGGATTTTTTTAATTTTTTATTGCACAGCCTCTCACCATAAGTCGTATTTATAATAATTCTTTTATTGTTTTCAAAATTGTTATTTTAAAATCACTGTCGAAGTGTTTCACGGTGACTTTTTCTGGGTTATATTTACTAAATTATTTTAGGAATCGTGAGTACTTGTGGTCTTAAATATTGTAGTTTCATCAACTACTCTAGTCACCACAAATATTAAATTCCTCAACTCTGAAGACTTCACTCCGTCGACAACTACTAAGTCGTAGACAGAGAAACCTGGGTAACCTAGGTTTCTCTGTCTACGTACTAAGTTTATTTCATACCCTTTAGCTACTGCAGCGCTGTTGTGGAGAGTTTTGAACTGTTATTTACTGCTTACAGATGGACACTTTTTCAACTATTCTCCTATGTGAGATGGTTCTCCTTACCTCTATACTCCATGATACGAGTGTACTTACTCCGTAGACAGAGAAACCTAAATCAAATTGACGCCTTCTTTCGCATTCGCACACGAAAAAGATAGATTTACGCATACGTCTTACATAGAAATGAGACAAAGCGGTGTGATTGTTTGTCCCTTTCTCCGAGCAAGTTTTTTTATTTAGCAAACAACTTTGACAGTTCGTAGCGATCTAAGGAGTTTACAAGTTGGTTTAAGTGAGAAAAAAGTGTTTTGTGAGCTTTAGATTGGTGAATCTTGTTCAGTTCAGTTCTTAGAACAATTAAAAATTTTATTTGAATACGTTAAAAAGTCATAAAAATTATTGTATAACCTAAAACTACGTTATCGCCCTTTCTCACTCGAGGCCACGCTTATCGATAGTCTGTAGCAGAGTTCCCCAAACTTTTTTGTGTCGTAGACCCCTTGCCATGTTTTTCCGTGTTGGGTAGACCCCCTACTTACCTGATATTGATTTCCTGTAAATTTCTAACTGTAGTGAAGTTTAGTATTAAAAACTTAAGGTAAAAACACACGTTAATTTATACATTTATTAATTGAATTTAAATTAAAACTACTCAAAATAAAATTTTGTATTTGTTATGTAAAATATACGTAGCATTAAATAAACATAAAATAAACTAGAAATAAAATAACATAAGCAATAAGAATATTTTTAGTGAGAAGGAAACCTGATGCTTTAATAATAAATTATCAACATTTGGCGTCAATTTTGTAAGTGTTAATCTTAAATCTCCTCGGCTAATGATGTCCAGTCTGTTTCATTTTTTCGTTAGGAGATTGGTAACAGCGCTGAACCCCCTTTCCACTAGGTATGACGATGGAAAGGAAATTAAAAATTTCCTCGCTATATTCCATAATACGGGATAAGTAACGGGTACGTTGTTTTGCAGCCAGAATTGCTGATATCTGTTTTTAAACTGAACCTTAAGTTCTTCGTTTGTACTTAGTTCAGTCAGTTCCTCTTGTATTATGACATTCGTTTCTTCTATGTCACCATATGGATTAATTATCCACAGTGGTATTACCATAGTCAAAATATCCTCAAACCTAGATTCAAAATCTGAATATAGGGCATTTATATGTTGAACGTAAGTTGAAACGTCATCTTCCTGGCAGCTTGTCTGTGACAAATTGGGGAACTGAGAAAATTCGCCCCGTCCAATATTTTTCTTCATTAGTTTAACTCTGGCAAGAAACGCTGATAAGATGGACTTTGTTTTAATCAAATTTAAAATGTCGCCTTGTAATTGCAAATTAACCATATTAAATTTTGTAAACAAATCTGTTAAATAGGCAATGTCTGTTTTCCTCTTCATTAAATTTTCTTTTAAAATTTTATCTTTAGTATCCAGAAATTCTAAAATAGTCTCAAAAAGTGCAAAAAATCTTGTCAAACATAAGCCTTTCGACAGCCAGCGTACTTCAGTGTGAAGGAGTAATTGATGAAAGTGTTCATCATTTTCTTCACACAACTGCGCAAATAACCACGTATTCAACGCGTTGCTTCGGATTCGGTTTACTGCATCAATGACTAAATGAAGTGATTCATGCAATCTAACACTCAAATTTTTTGCAACTAAATGTTGTCGATGGATGACGCAATGTATTGCTAACACCCCTGACACATTTTGTTTTATATAGCTTATAAATCCACGATAGCGTCCAACCATGGCAGGTGCTCCATCTGTAGCTACTGATACTATATTTGATAAAGGAATTGCCTTTTCAATGAAGTAATCCTTCAAAACATGAAATATTGATTCACCTTTAGTGTCGGTTATCAAAGTTCTTGCGAAGAGCAGTTCTTCGCAGATTTCTTGATTCATAATAAAACGAACATATGCCAATAATAATGCTGCATTATCAGGTAAAGTTGACTCGTCCAGTTGTATAGAGAAATGGGTCGTTTGCAAATATCAATACGTCTTTTAACAGTATTGTTGCTTAAGGGAATTCTTTTAATGATATCAAATGCAGGTTTGTGTAAAACAGTTTTTAAAACCTCTTCAATGGCTGGCAAAATTAACTTCTCTCCGATAGTATGCGGTTTTCCGGATTTTGCTATCAGTAACGAGATATTGTAAGACGCCTGCAAACCATCATCATTTCTTTCTGACGTCGAAGCGAACATTCTGTCTAGTGTAGGTCTCTTCTGAAGTTTATCTTTGAGTGTTTGAAAGTATTTCAAATCTTTCTCTGTTTTATCGGGGTGGCATCTTCTCAGATGATCTTGCAGTTTAGATGGTTTCATAGCGTCATTTCCCAAAACTTTCTTGCATAAAAGGCAATTGTTTGTCCGGCAATGATGAAATGAAGCCAAAGATCATTACATATATAACAGAAAAAAAACATGGCATTAGTCATCTGTGGGCAAAATTAAATTATTTAACTAATACAGACCCCAATACAGCAGCTGTATATTAAATATTTTTTTATTTTTTCAAATATTCAATAATCGACACTGTACTGTCTACATTTCTTTTCAGATTCGGACATGGCATTAGTCATCTGTGGGCAAAATTAAATTATTTAACTAATACAGAAAATCCAGCAGCTGTATATTAAAAATATTTTTTTATTTTTCCGAAAATATTCCATAATTCGAACATCTTCTTGCAACAATTATCTCGAATTACGGAGATTGCACTGTAATTATAATACCGATTGCTAAAACTTTCAAAGAGAAACTATTGAGGAGTACTCGTGTAATTTTGCATGATTGAATATTAAACTACTAATAACTAAAGTCATGATTGGCGTAATTTATCTATCTTTGCTAACTACGAGTACAAAACTAAAATTTAATAAAAAATAATGTACTTACTTTTCTCCAGCACTCTCAAACAAAATAACACTGACTCACTATAATTTGTGTGATATACATACTATCTGTTTATATTTTTTTAAATATTTTCTTAGCACTTTCCTTTTCAAGATTCAGGAAACGAATAAACGTATTTGTACCACATTCGTATTTATAGAGTGACGAATTGAACAAGTCAGTGCAAGGTAGCTGAGCTCTGAGACTGCGACTCTCAGGTTTTTACAAGTTCAAAATGTATTGTGACCACAAAGCGAATACCAACATCCTACAACTTACACAATTTTATAAACATATATAATAAATTTTTTACTTCATAGGTACTTTTATAAATAATGTATATGTTTTGATATTATAAGATAGTATGATGTAAGTAAATAGGTACTATCAGTGTATGTGTTGAGATCTACTATCGTGGACCCCCATTTTCATTTCATGGACCCCCAAATTTTTTTCGCTGACGTAGACCCCTTGCAGGTTGTCATAGACCCCTAGGGATCGATATAGACCACTTTGGGAATCACTTGTCTATAGGTTTGTTTACGACTTACTCTTATATTTTTGGAATAGTATAATGAGACTTAAGATGACCACTTGACATTTCTATTTCTGTATATATTAGAACAGGAGAACGATCACTACATACTAAAGCATAGCCCGCCTGTCCTTGAAAATTGTAGAATACATAGCGGCGCTGACGTCGGTGAGTAGTGACTGCGAAGTTAGCTGTTTATGATTACAAGTAGGTGAAGTTAGTTGAACAATGTACAAATTTTCATTTCATTTTTTCTTAGAAAATTTTCATGCTCCGTAATTTTTTAATTTATGACAAAAAGAAACATTAAAAATGGAGAAATATTTTATTGTGCGTGGATGTGCAAGTGTTTTAGCATCTAATCGGAAAAATAGACTGAAAATGACTTTTATTGAGCGAACTTAGCGATCGCAGCGCCTCATTTATGGTGTCCATATTTCTGGGACACTATTTTCTACGGCGATCGTTCTCCTGTTTCTATTTCCACGCATAAATTACACTCAACATTTTCAATAGATTTTGTCTCTTTTTGATTTATTTGAAAATTTAATTAGAAAAAGCGTGACAAGTATATTTACTCAATTTATGTAGAATTGTAGGTTCTCTCTGTGCATTCGTATATTCGTATAATTACTCATGTACAAACCTTTTTCGTTTTAAGTTTTCTTAAAAATTATTATTATTAACTCTTACAAAAATAGTATTTTTGAGAAAGAAATTTATTTAAATTTAATATTACTAAAAATACGCTACACATTCAGTAGGAATTGAATTATTAATTATCAAAGAGTATACAAAGAGTAACAACCACAAACTTATAAGAAGTGTACTTGATCCTATACAGAATACAGGGATTTATTGTTCTCTGTGCCTTTGCCTAACACATCAGCATCAATTAAAAAAAGTTTAAAATTTCGCTTTGTAATCAATGTTGTGCTTGAGTCCATTTTAAAATTTTTAAAATAGATTGTGGAAACTCAATAATATGGTAGACTTTGAATACCTACTAAAAGTTTTTTTTATTAGTGCAATCTGTATGGCTAACGTAATGGACGTATTACGTGTTTCAGGGGCAAAACCAGTCAGGAGGTGGAAGTGGAGGAGACAAGAAAGATGACAAAGATAAAAAGAAGAAGTATGAACCTCCAATCCCTACCAGGGTGGGAAAGAAGAAGCGCAAAGCAAAAGGCCCCGATGCAGCTTTAAAGCTACCTCAAGTTACACCACATACAAAATGTCGATTGAAATTATTAAAATTGGAACGGATCAAGGATTATCTCCTCATGGAAGAAGAATTTATTAGAAACCAGGAGCGTCTAAAGCCACAGGAAGAAAAAATTGAAGAAGAGAGGTCTAAGGTTAGTTTTATGTAAATATGAGTTTATAAAATAAAATTGCTTATAATTATTGTGCCTACCCAAGGGTATACTTCTTAAATGTGGCATCTTATTTTCGACTTTGAGCATACACATCAACGTTTTACACTTACAATTCCATCTTGCACACTTGTGAAATTATAGTTATTACAATGATTTCGCTAAAGACATTCTAAGTGTGAGCATTTAGTTTTATTTGGAACACTGCTATAGCCAAAATTGCAATAACCTAGCTGGCTGGTTGTTTGTGATCGAATAGCCAGCTAGATAATCAGCTATTCAGCTATTTGGATAAATGAATCACTAACCAACTGATAGTTGTACTGTTAGCGTAGCAACTGTAGTGTGGCTAGGACTTGAATAATGCTCAACTGCCCTGTGCTTACGTTTGAATCTCGCTGTGAAACATATTTATAATTAGATTTAAAAAAAGGCTAATATTTCCAATATGGACCATCGATTTCAAAGCCCATATTTGTTTTGTAGATAGTACTCACTAAAATAAAGCGTTTTGCAAAGTTTTAGGTTGCCGAAACTTACGGTTCATGAGATATATTTTTTTAAACTTTTCATACAAATTGGCAAATAACACGCTATTACAAAATAAATTTGACAAATGATTGATGTCAAACGTCAATTAGTGTAGGGTTCCCAAAATTTTTAAAGTATTGATACCTACTAGATACCAAGTATCGCATCAAAAGTATCAATACTACTTAGTATCGAGTACATTTCGTTATTTTTCTAGACGAAAAATTATGACAAACCATTTAGATGCATATGAAGAGCTGATAAGTGTAATTAAATACGTATATAAAATAGAATAAAGTTTACTCTATTTTAGTTCCACCTTAGTACTTGTATTTCATCGTTTGCAATTTGTTTGTATTTATTAATTAGTACAGCTTTTGTGGTTTTAATTTATTGTTTGCAACTTTCTGTATTATCTAATTCTTACTACAATAAAGTGTTTACTTACTTATTTAATATCCAAAAAGTACCCAAATCCGAATCAGAGCACCCCACTATCCACATGGTCTTGTCTGCCCTACCCCTAGAGTGTATATAAGAGCGCGGAGGGAGGGCAGTGCCCGCCCGCCGTAGGGAAGGGCAGGCGAGCTCAGGTGCCTGTGCCTCCCTACGCTAGGGCGGAGGTACTGCTCATCCCGCAGTGCCGGAGCTGCCACAGTGCGCCGGAACATGACTTCCCCGCTTCTAAACCCCCCACCTCCACCTCACTTCCCCGCTACTAACCACCCCCACCCCCCTCATCTCATAAGCCCCACCCTTTTCTTCATTTAATCTGGGCCATTTTACCCCTCCTTCCCCATATCCCACCCCCTCAATTTCATCAGATATACGGAAACGAGAATAATACTTTGCAAAGCGCTTTCTTTTAGTGAGTACTATCTACAAAAAAAAATATGGGCTTTGAAATCGATGGTCCATATTGGAAATTTTAACCAAAAAAAATTATGACTCATTTTTATTTTCTTATTTATTTTTTATATTTCCTTGAAATGAAATGAATTTCCCTTATAAGCTCATAACTATGTTGTACATATTATTAAAACTGTCGAAATATCATATCTATCTATATTTTACACTTTTACAGTGCCATCTATATCTATGGGTATGAATTAAGAAGCTGCTGTAGCATCAGACTTAATTATGTTTATACATAACATTCAACAGTAGAAGTAAACTAAAAGATATGCCATAGATGTTGCGCTACTACATTTTTTATTTCTAATGATGCTATAGTTGTAATTGTAAACCATATTCTAAATTTGATAGTTCATTTATGTTGATGAAAGCCTTGAATAAAATTTAAAACAATAATAATAACATTTTGCACTTGCATTTCACTCAGCCTAATTTGAATTTACTACAACAGATGAGAGTCTTGTGCTACTCATTTCAATTAAGTCAACGGATAAAAATACAATTATTATTATGTAGGTACATATTAATAATAATAAACATAACCTTTTCTTTTCTTTAACTTTGGGGATATATATATATATATAATTGTGAATGTGAAAACAATAAGGCGATACGAATTGCGAATGAAGATTGCGGTGATCGAGCATGTAGTTGTCTGTTGGTTAATGGCTATATACAGCTATTCAGCTATCTAGTACTTGGTAGCTGCCGGCTGCATAACGTGTCCTCTGTAGCAGTTACCAGTTACCTGCTACGCCGTAGCTTGTCGGATAATCGAAGCGCCTCTAACCAAAGTAGTAGCTAGTTATTGTGTTGACGAATATCATAGCTGTGGCTATATTGTGATTAGCCGCTATTTAGTTAGCTACTTGAATAGCTACCCATCTACAAACACTGCATAAGAAATGGAAATTGATGATACAGTTAAAAGTATAAATAAGATTATTATGTGAGGGATTTTGGCCAACTTTTTTTTAATTACCTTAATTAGAAGCCTAATATAATATTATATATTAATGTGTTATTATATGATAAGCAAATTAAATTTTAGCTTATTATTTTTTGTTGAAGCCCGCTGATTCAACATTGGTGCAATTGCCTACTAAATTTCAGGCACACATTTGCACATTTACAAACATCATTTACCTATGTAGTAGTAATAGGTAATTACCTAATTACTAAAATTTGCAGGCGTTGTATGGAGTATCCTGGGTGTGCTAATGGCAGAAACTAAACTTTCACTTTATGCATACATGCTTGTAGGTTAAGGGTACTCCTAATTTGGTCCATTTTCAATATATTACTGAAAAATTGCAAATTGAAATGCAGTCATTAAGGAGTATGTTAGGGCTGAATCTGAATGAGGGAGTGAGAAATTGTGTGATAAAAATGTGGTATGCAAGATGATGTGACCAGGATTAAGAAAGTAATGCTTTAGTGGTTTGATCATGTAGAAAAAATTAATGAAAAAAGAATGACAAAGCAAATCTATCTTTAGTGCATACTGGAGACTTATTATTTTGTTTGTATGTGGGGAAGATATTTGAAAAAATAAAATTATTTTTTATATAATACATAGATTATGGTTGTTTATATTAAAATATTCAATAAACAATTATTTAGTTTATATTATAAATAAGGGAGATTACATATTTAGAGTTTTCATTGATATTTTATTCATAATTGTTAGTAGAATCCAACTTAGAAAAACTGACATTTCTTCAAAATCTGACGTCCAAGTTATCATTTTCATCCATAAATTCCTTAAGAATTATGATAATTCTTACAATTTTTGTTTGATAAAGTTTTTGAACTTGGTGGAGTACATATTTTGTATATATTCAGGAATTTTGTTGTAAAAGCGTATACATTGCCCCAAGAGTGAATTACTGACTATGAAGTCAAGTCATACATTGCTACTATTCAATTTGTAAATGATTTATTAAACTATTAAAATTATTAAAATGATAAATACTAAACATGCAATGACTAGTAGTAGTAAGCTGGCCTCTTGCCCATGTATTGCATATGGTTGTTATGTATCTGCATTTTTATATTTTACAGTGATATTGCCTGTTTTGTTGTTTAGTAAAATGTTTTTGTATAGATACATTTTTTTTTCATATATTTTGTATTTATTGTTGCTTCATTGAATTGTATAATATAAAAATATAAATTTATATTTATATTCTATGCTAAATGCTAACAGAATCTTACAGCTATTATTTTCAAGTTGTTTGTTTTAAGTTGTCAATAAATATTAATAAACCCTTCTTACCATTGTACCTTTGTTTGTAATAAGTATTTTAATCTTAAACATGCACTTTTAAACATTTTAAACTAAAATATTATATACACTTTTTAATCCACTGCTCACACAAATGAGGCAAAGATATGTGAAGTTATGTACTGATAAGGGTGTTTTTTTAATTTCCTTTGATATTAGATTTTTTTTTTTATAGAAGAGGGGGCAAACGAGCATGTAGCTCACCTGATGTTAAGTGATTACCGCCGCCCATGATCAACCGCAACACCAGGGGAATTGCAGGTGCGTTGCCGGCCCTTTAGAAAGGAGTAAGCTCTTTTCTTGAAGGTCCCCAGGTCGTATCGGTCTGGAAAAATCGCCGGTGGTAAATTATTCCACAGGGAGGTTGTACGCAGAAGAAAACTCCTTTTGAAACGTACAGTGGTGGACCGCCAAGCATCCAGATGGTGTGGATGGTATCGGGACATTTGCCGTGTAGTGCATTCACGAAATTTGGCGGCTGGGATTAATCCGAACAATTCCTCAGAGCACTCCCCGTGATAGATGCGATAAAATACGCAAAGAGATGCAACATCTCTTCGCAGCGCCAGTGAATCGAGCCGATCGGAAAGCACTCGGTCGTCGACGATTTGAGCCGCTCTGCGCTGGATGCGGTCAAGTGGAAGGAGCTGGTACTGGGGAGCCCCAGCCCAGAGATGGGAACAGTATTCCATGAGCGGCTGAACCTGCGCCTTGTAAAGTTGCAGGCGGTGTGCCGGCATGAAATACTGTCCCGCTCTGCTGAGCACGCCAAGCTTTTTTAGAGGCCAATTTGGCCTTCCCTTCCAAGTGACCACGAAACTGCACGTCACTCGATATGTCGACTCCGAGGATTCCGATACTGGCTAAGGCAACAAGGGGAGTGCCTTGAAACTGAGGGGATACGACAAAGGGGTTCTTTTTAGCGGTTAACGCGCAAACTTGTGTCTTCTGGGGGTTAAACTGGACTAGATTTAGTTGCCCCCAATCCGAGACTCTGTCCAGCAGAGACTCGACTTCAGACACAAGTTTGTCCCGGCACTCAGAGACGTTTTCCCGAGAAATATTGGCTCGGCCGGTGTAAAGAGCATCACCAGTGCTGTCATCTGCATAGCAATGAATGCTACGGGTTTGCAACATATCATTGATATGCAGAAGAAACAGCGTTGGCGATAGCACGCAGCCCTGTGGAACACCAGCATTAATAGGCTTGCAATCGGAGCTTGCACCGTCTACAACGACCTTGATGCTCCGATCTGCAAGAAAACTGGTGATCCAATCGCACAATTTCTCGGGAAGCCCATAGGAAGGGAGCTTCGAAAGAAGCGCTTTGTGCCAAACCCGATCGAAGGCCTTCGCAATGTCCAAACTAACGGCCAATGCCTCCCCCTTGGACTCTACTGCCTCCGCCCATCTGTGAGTTAGGTAGACCAGAAGATCACCAGCTGACCTATCACGGCGAAAACCGTATTGGCGGTCACTAATCAGCTGGTGATCCTCAAGGTACCTCATGAGCTGGCAGTTTACAATGGACTCCATTGTTTTGGAGAACAAGGAGGTGATGGCGATAGGCCGGTAGTTGGACGGGTCTGAGCGTTCGCCTTTTTTAGGGATCGGGTGGACGAAAGCCGTCTTCCATGATTTTGGGACTACGCCTAGGGAGTAGGAGTACCGGAAAAGACGCGTTAAAACCGGTGCCAACTCTGGAGCACACGTCCTCAGCATAATTGGGGGGATTCCGTCAGGCCCACTCGACTTGTGGATGTCCAGGGAGAGGAGTGCTTTGCGAACCGAGCGCTGAGTGAACTGCACTTCCGGCATGGAGCACTCACACCGCGGGATGGTCGGCGGCGTACTCCCCCCGTCATCGAGAGTCGAGTTAGACGCAAAGAAAGAGCCTAGAAGATCGGCTTTCTCCTTTGCGGTGTGGGCCAGTGAGTCGTCCTCCCTGTGCAGAGATGGAAGAGATGACTGACAGAAATTCCCCTGGACAGCCTTGGCGAGAGACCAGAATGCACGAGTTCCAGAAGGAAGACGAACTAGACTCTCGCCAATTCTGCCTATGTGCTCTGACTTTGCCTTGGCAATGACTCTTTTGAAGGACCTAGAGGCGGAATTATACTTCTTTTTTAGAGCGCTGGTGTTTACATCCCTGGACGCTGATGCGTCAGCCCAGGCTCGGTAGCACTCCTGCTTATAGCATGATGCTATTTTACAGGAGCGACCAAACCATGGCTGAGATTTGCCTCCAATGGGCACCACAGAGGAAGGAATAATAAGTTCCATACCCTGAAGTACCGCATCAGCGACAGAATCCGCAACAACGTTGGGATCGTCCGGCGAGAAGCAAACCCGCCCCCAAGGGTAGGATGCAAAGTAAGACCGCATCCCATCCCAATCGGCGGACCTATAGTGCCAAACACGGCGGCAGCCTGCAGAATGCAACCGCGATTTCAGCGTGAGTGGCACCTCACTCCGGACTTGACAATGGTCCGAGGAATCAAGGGGGGCGTCGACGAAAATCTGATATCCGTCCGGGTGAGAGGTCAGCAGAAGGTCCAACAGGGAAGGTGCATGATCCTCCACATCTGGAATCCGCGTAGGCGAAGTAACCAGTTGTGTCAGACCATATGCCAAGGCAAAATCATGAACAGATCTCCCCGCATGATCGGTTAAACGTGAACCGAGCCATTCGGCGTGATGGGCGTTAAAGTCGCCGAGGATCACGATCTCTGCGGAGGGGATCTGCTGTAGCAACGAATCTGCAGCCATTTGGACGTGGTCGAAGAGTCGGTCTGTTTCGGCATTACCGCTATGGGATCTATAGAGGCACCCGTAGACGCGCGGATGGTCGTCGCTGTCTACGCGTAGCCAAAGGATGGACAGGTCCGAACCTTCAAGTCTGCCGAGGCGTCGAGAACAGATGTCCTCTCTGACGTAAACGCAAACTCCAGCCCGAGGCACAAAGGAGTGTTCCAGTTTGTACCCCGGGCAGGAGAGATACGAGACATCAGCCGGAGAGGACACCTGCGTCTCGGTCAGAAAGAGCAGAGCCGGCCTCGCCGTCTCGAGATGGTAGTGGACGGTGTTTAGGTTAGAGTGAAGTCCCCTGATATTAGATGTATAGTTATGGAAATAAAACAAAATCCTTTTAAAATAATGGTTCTATTTCTTTTTTTTACTATTTTGTACAAGAAACTAATAAATTTGTCCTCATATTTTGAAAAAGATTGATAATATTTGTACAGAGTCCTCCAAAAATGTCATATGTATTATGCAAGATGGTTGAGATAGATCCCCAGACATCTAGCTAGCTAAGTGCGTTTTTTTTAAATAGTATGTTTTATTGACACATTGTTTTTATTTTCATGTTGCAGGTTGATGACCTTAGGGGTACACCTATGTCTGTAGGCAACTTAGAGGAGATTATTGATGACAATCATGCTATTGTCTCTACATCAGTAGGAAGTGAACATTATGTGAGCATTCTGTCCTTTGTGGATAAGGATCAGTTGGAGCCTGGATGCTCTGTACTTTTGAATCATAAGGTATATAATCATTTTTATTTATCTCTAAATTTTCATAATTAAATTAGATAATTAATATTAAATTAGAAAACATCTACTTAGAAATAATGAGAATCACCTGCCTTCTAAGCCCTTTAAGAGTCAATCGATACCTCTAACTTTGTATTGAGGATTTGCAGTCATTGTGCAGTAGGTGGATCTGTTATTGCAGTATTAAGTGTTGCTCCTAGTATCAGATCTAACTATTGCACATTTGTCATTTACAAAATAATCATATTCTATTAAAGGCTATAAGATCTTACTGTCATTTACTGTAGAAATTAATTAAAAACACAAATTGAATAATTAATAGCTTTAGTAATTAGTTTAATCAATATGGGCTTAATTCTTGCACATAACCCAAAAACTACTAGTTAAACAGTTGATGATATTTGACTTATTAGCCGCCTTTACAAATATGCTTGTTACCGCGTGAATCGACTTTCGCGCGGGAAAGAACGCGCATGTGAAGATAGAAAAGGAGAAAGAGATTGCACGCGCACACCGCACGCTCACGCATCAGCTCATACTTCAGTCATGCGTTCAAGTGTGTCCATTTGAAATATAATTTACATGCGCAGTTTTGTGAAAACGATTACCGTCGTTAAATGGCGGACATTAGATTATGGAGCAAGCATCTTATTACATAGAGTTCTTGGCAATATACATGCCATTTTATGTTTAATTTTATTTAATAATACATGGAAAATAATATATAAAATAAATCTATAATCTATTATATGCTTAGACCAGCAAACATAACTGCTTGCGTAATATTCCTTCCTACGCTTTTGTTCATTTCTTTAGAACACTAGTCTTCAGAACATGCCTACAACAAAACTGCATGACTTTCATACACTCCAGGTTGTGGAAGTTTCCCGTTCTGAATCTAGCCTTTTACGCTCTATCCTTTCTGAATAAAAATAGAGAAGTAATAGCGTGAAAGAGTCGACGCACATAAAAATGGATAAAATAATCACTCACGATTGCTCGTACAAGCTTTCCCGCGTTCAATCGCGCACACTCCGATCCCGAGTGAAAGAACTTGCCATGCCATCCAACTCCATAAGATACTCTGGACTCTTCCCAATCCCTCAGGGTTAGGTGCTTCTAACCCTGAGGGATTGGGAATTTGCACTAAATTTATTGTACCTTATTTCTAATATATGCTTTTTACTTTCAATCAGCCCTGTTACTTTAGTGTGCCTTTGATGATGGTATAAGTATAAGATAAGTATAAATAAATTTATTCACAAGAAATATGGTACAAGGATGTTCTTATAAAATAATAATGTATCACATATTTCACCAATTTTGGTATATGAAAACTTATTTACTAATTAACTTATTGTTAGACTATACAAAATTTACATGTATCTCACTTTACAATATTTAATATTTAACCCTTTAAAACACAATCAAAAAAGAAACAAGCTAACAAGCTAATAAGTTTGAATAAGACTAATTTTACGGATTTTTTTCGCGTTTTATTTGATTATTTTATAATTCCGACGTTATGAGTACTTTTCAGCGATAGCTTTTCCTTCATAGCTAATCATGGCTACCTTCAATTTAAAATTATGTCCCATTCCTATATATATTTGTTACAAAATTACTTTATTCCTGTTCCAAATTCGCCACATTGATTCATTAATTAAAAAAGGAAATAATTTGTTTGACAGTTTGTTGACTGCAATTTTCGCACTGCATTGTTACAGCAATATACACTTGGTAGAAAAATTGTTACTTTAGTAATAATCTGGCATCAGGATACAAATGTGAAAAACATTTTTCCTAAATGATTATTTTCTAAACCTAGAATAGTAACAACAAATAATTACTGTAATGATTTCTTATATTTACACAAACACTACTAATTAATTTCAAAATTAAACATGATAAAATCTGTAAAAATAGTTTTATTCAGTAAGTAACATTTTAGGTTCATGCTGTTGTTGGTGTACTGGGTGATGATACTGATCCAATGGTGTCAGTTATGAAACTGGAAAAAGCACCTCAAGAGACTTATGCAGATATTGGTGGACTGGACACACAGATACAGGAAATAAAGGTATGCTTATTAGTGATATTCTGTATATACATATCCAAAGATATCAGTCATAGAAAGAAAACCCATAGTCAATTTTATGCAAGCATACAGTCAATCTGATGCAGGAAGAAACAGTTAAACATTTATTAACAATTAATATCAAAATGCCGACTTATTGTGATCGAGTTTCAATAGAGAAGATGGTTGAGTGCTATCATCGGCGTGTGATCCAGTATTCAATAAAATTAAATTCAAAGCTAAACATACCACTGCAAGATTTCAAAATACTTGTTAGCTTTTTTGCATAAAGCGGACAAGTCATTAGTTAAAATTGCCCACATATAACCATGAGTGTTGAAAAGCAGTCACATTTTTCGGGATATTTTTGTAATACTGAAGTGACTGTCAAGCTTACAGTCTACCAGATGGTGAGTGGCTACTGCAAACCGTGGACAACTGCAACGAATTGTAATAAAGAAGGACTAAGGCCCGGTTTATATTTCGAGAAGTGACAAGTGCGAGTGGCAAGTGCAACTACAAGTTCTTAGAGCATACTTAATACGCACTAAGCACTTGTCATTTGTCAGTTGCACTTGCCATTCACACTTGTCAATTCTCAAAATGTAAACCAGGCCTAAGATGGAATGTCTCACAGCCAGTAATTCATACTGACTCTCTATACCCTTTATTATTTGTACTACATAGATAAGTGATCAAGATCAGTTCGTAACTTATAGTTGTTGTCAGTATTATCTTATTCACTTAAAAAATTGGAATTGTGGTATTTAATTTTACCAATATTGGTAGATTTAAAGGTTTCTTCATTTAAAGAATGTTCTTTAATTACATGTTTCACAATCAGGTAAGGAATTACATTGGTTGTGCTACCTTATCTGCTTCATTCTTTCTCTAATCTAAATAATTATTTTTTATATTTTCCATCATAATTTTTTTATTCCAATTGTTTTTCTGGTTTAAATGTAATATAAATTAATTTACAATGGTTTTTGTTTCACTATTAGATTTGAAAATTGATCAATATAATTACGACTATAATTTTATTTTAACCTAGGAATCAGTTGAGTTACCTCTAACACATCCGGAGTATTACGAAGAAATGGGTATTAAGCCACCTAAAGGAGTCATATTGTATGGACCTCCTGGAACTGGCAAAACTCTCTTGGCAAAAGCAGTGGCCAACCAGACTTCAGCTACGTTCCTACGTGTTGTTGGATCTGAACTGATTCAGAAGTATTTGGTGAATATCAATTTTTAAGGAATTTGTTTTTGTTTTTTTTATCATCTAGTTAAACAAATTTGTTTAAATTTTACTCAGGGTGATGGTCCTAAACTTGTACGAGAATTATTCAGAGTTGCTGAGGAACACGCTCCATCTATTGTTTTTATAGATGAAATTGATGCTGTTGGCACGAAACGGTATGTTCTTTCACTATTTTAGCTAGGTTTTATTCTCAATAATGTAATGGGTCAATTTATCTTAATTTGACCAAGAACAGAAACAATTAACACTAATTCTATAATTCAATAACTACTCTCCTGTTTAAATCTAAAGTCGGAACAAGCATGTGGTTAGGATTGAAAACATTATGAACGACGAAACATGGTCTCTTTTTTTTAACTAACCAATGCTTGTGGACGGGTGCGATCCTTCAGGGTCCTCAATAACATCTATCTCTCATCTATAGCCAAGTTATGGATGTTACCACAGGAGCTACAGACTATGGTTTGATGCTGTAATTCAAGTTGTTGTTTTCTAGATTCAAGTTATCAGAAACAAATATTCCGAACTTCTTACTTAATTTTAAATAATCAGTTCAATTCGGTGAATATTGAACTAACTCTTTTGCAACTCTTTGGCTAGCACCATCTAAAACCAGTCACTTTTTTCATCAAGTGGCAGCCTTGCAGTCTTAATCGTTGATCACGATCGGGATGGAAATGGTGATGAACAAAACCCTACTGTTCAATATCAGTAATAGAACATTAATTTAGTTATGTTAGTATTTTGCATTAGTTAATAAGAATATATATGTAAATATTATGCAAAAAGTTTCTTATCTATCAAGTGCCAGAAAATGTCGTAACTTGTTGAAGCGCTTATAGACTGTAGTTATACTCTATACATATAAAAATCTAACTGACTGCCTCGTTGGTCTAGTGGTTGTTGTGGTGCGACTACTAATCATGAGGTCCTGGCTTCGAATCCCGGGTCGGGCGAAAAAATAATTATTGAGTTTTTCCGTCAAGAAATTCTCAATAGCTGCCCGGAGTCAAGAAGTTGGCGGTATATCACCCCCGTGCTTCGGAAGGCACGTAAAGCCGTTGGTCCTGCGCCCGGTTTACCGTCCCATCGGATTATGAGAGTGAAGGAATAGAGAGTGCACCTGTGCTTGCGCATACACTTGGGCACTATGATCCTGTCCTGCACCAATGGCTAGTCTCCGTTGAGGCTGACGAAATTCGGTCTGGAGGACATTATTATTATATAAAAATTAGTTGCTGTTCGTTACTCTCGTTAAAACTCAAAAACCGATTTTGATTAAATTTTTTGTGTGTGTTTGAATGGGTCCCTAAATGGTTTACATTCACATTTGGACCCGTTAGCTGTTGTCGAGATCCAGAAGTCACTCGTGCGAACCCGGGGCGGATCGCTAGTCAGTAATAAAAATAATAATTCAATAGTTAAATAATTTTTAGTTTTGTGTTATAATACTCGGTCTTTTTCATCATCATCATCATCATTACAGCCTATCAAAGTTCACAGCTGAACATAAGCCTCCTCTTAGATTGCCTCATTAGAGAGATATTTGCCACAATTGTCACACTTGACAGGCGGGCTAACAACCGCAGTTTTTTATTCTAGTTAGTATTAGGAAGACGCCGCTGCTTGTCTCCTGGCTGGATTCCCTCTGTCTCCTCTCACAACTTTTTTTACGCGGTAGAGCCATGATGCAGCTATATTAATTATATAGTTGTAGCACGAATGGATCGGCTCGACCGGGGAAGGACCACGCTCTCACAGAACACCAGCGTCAAATAGTAGCTTAATACTGCTGTGTTTCGTATGGTGAGTGTAGAGAACCGGAGACCCTTTTTACTGGAAACGAGGCATTCCATCTTAGTCCTCAAGGCTGACAACGCATCTTCATTTTTATTCGCAAACGAGGATAGATGTAGATGTCCATGGGCCACAGCAACCAGTTACCATCAGGTGGACTGTGTGCTCGCTTATCACCCTTTTCCTATTAAAAAACAGCCACAGGACGATATGGGGTAATTGATATTCTTACATCCCCACCAAATGGTAATTAATTGGTCAGCAAGAAAAAAATCTATATTAGTAAAAGTAATTCCATAACAATAAGCTAATTTATCTTCAGGATTTTGAATTTTATCAAGAATGCAAATATTATAAAATCTACATACAAAAAAAAAATAATAATCGGATTAATTCAAATCCAATTTCAAGCATTTAAATTTCCAATTTGGATGCAAACTCATAATATATTTATAATTATTTAAACATAGCATTACATAATTATTGTTGTTTTCGGTTGTAATTATGTTTTTTATATTATTTTTAGTTACGATTCTAACTCAGGGGGAGAGAGAGAAATTCAAAGAACTATGTTAGAACTTCTCAACCAATTGGATGGTTTTGATTCTCGGGGAGATGTGAAGGTGAGCCTACTTATATAAATTATGAGAGATAGTTTATCTAAAAATATTGGAAAAGTAAAATGATTTGATGTTTTTTTATTTCAGGTAATCATGGCAACTAACCGAATAGAAACCTTAGATCCAGCTTTAATTAGACCTGGCCGTATAGACCGAAAGATTGAGTTTCCACTTCCAGATGAGAAAACTAAGAGGAGAATCTTTACCATACACACATCAAGAATGACATTAGCCGATGATGTAAACCTTTCTGAGCTTATCATGTCTAAAGATGATCTTTCAGGAGCCGACATTAAGGTTTGTTTATTTAAGAATATGAATATATTGTTAAATAATTATTTGATTGTGTAGACTTAAGTTTATCGTGGGTTAGATTCCGCTATTCTTGTAAACGCGTAATTTACGTGTAGGCAGAAAAAAATTTTGTGCCGTATTAGCTCCTAGAGGACCCCTAGCAGCTTCTTAATATCTATAAAGATCTCTGGGAGGGACCCCAGCAGCTTTCCATATTCAATACACACCCATAAGTAGAAAGAGTTAAGTAAACTTTTCTAGGAAATGTCGTACATAGTATGTCCCTTTGAGACGACGAATAAGATACCACTTTTCAGCTAATGTGAAACAGCTTCTGTATAAGTTAAAGGAAAGCAAAGTCACCTTGGCTAACTCCGTAGTTGCTTAGGTACTTAGAAAAGCCTTACCTTATAAAAGCATGCGTAAAGCAAGGTTTAGACGAAGCCAGTGCTGGCTTGTTATTAGCCCTGTATAAACAGTTTTTCAAGACAAGCCAGCGCTGACTGCCAGCTCTGGCGGGAATAGAGCGCTTGCCTATTTTTCAAGCCAGTGACCTCCGCCCGCGTGCCCCGCAACCCCCGCGCCGAAATAAATAATTTGTAATATACAAACTTAACTAGTGATATTGTACAAATTCCTATATTTGAATGTATGTACTATAAGTATACATTATTTTCAGTTAAAGTTTAAAAATTAATTGATTTAATACAACGATTTACAAGAATAATCTAGGAATGAAATGAATCCATTTGGCCTCATCTAAACAACAAGGGCCAGGCCAGCACTGGCTTGTCTGAGGACTGGCGCCAGCGTTACTGGCTTCGTCTAAACCTTGCTTAACGCATCTCCCCATTGTTTATTTATCTCAGACTCAAGGTAGTAATACATATTTTCTACATTTATGTATGGGATATATGTAAATACAGTTATAACCTACTAACTAATACATATTTATTTATTAATAAAACTATCACTATTCACACCTACGCATGTGCAGATAACGAGTCTCTGTTGAGACTGGTCGAAAATATTATTGTCTGCATCGTGTTTTCATGTGACCTTCCGCGAAAATATAGGTACACGACATCCTTCAGCTTAAATTTTAACCACAGCTGAATTAAATTTAAATTGTGGTTCACAGCATTCATTTACCTAGAGCACTGTGTGCTCGTTTGTCAACCATATTCTATAAAAAAATTACTACATTTTTTTGATATGTATATTACGCGATATTTTCGTCAACTGTAAACCGATATTGATGATTCTTATTTTATTAAATAGCTTCAGGGGTGATCTTATACAGATTTGGAGAGAATATTACAACCCTAAAAGTCACCTAGAGCCTTGGGGGCTTTTAATTCACAGCATTCATTTACCTAGAGCACTGTGTGCTCGTTTGTCAACCTTATTCTATAAAAAAAATTACTACGTTTTTTGATATCTGGGGGCACTGCAGTGCTCCCGCCAAGTCGAGCATAAAAGCGTCACGGCCGTACTATATTTTTCTCGAAGCAGTTCAGGCCATTTTCGACCCCCCTATAACTTCGTTGTGAATAAAACTAGGAATCTGAATTTTCAGAGACCAAGCAGACATTGTAAAAACATGGTATATTTCAAATTTTATTTAATTTGAACTAGTAGTTTAATAATTATAACTAGTCAAAGTTTCCTAATTTTGTCACTCATTGACTGACCGATCATCAAAACTCTAAGGCACTTCTAGCAAACATAGAAGCTTCTAATTTAAAATACAGTTAGTGTTTAGTGTATAAATCAAGGAAAAACTAAAATATTTTTCAATTTCGGTCCAGTTTTCTAGATACACCAACTGCATAAATAACTTTGTAATCCCATATGAGTATATACAATTACGAAGCAGTGCAGTGAACGAATCAGTGTACCTGTGTATGTATAATAGGTGTAGATAGGTATGTTGTTAGTATTCAAGAAGTAGATGGTACCGGAAAGGAAAAAAGTAAGATTATCTACAAAAAGAAATGAGATGTCATCAAAAACATAACTTGTAAAAAAAAACAAGTCTCACAACTCAGTTCTTCTTCTACCGTAAAAAGTAGCGAGATCTATGTAATACCAAGTCGGTTAATTTATTTAGTCCCTACTTAAGAGTCCTTCTGTTTTAAGTTATTACGTAATTAGCAAACCTAACAACATCTTATAATGACCATAAACACGTTAAAAATCTTTTATGTTTTAATAAATTGACTTGGCAATCGTAAGAAACAATCTAACTTAATGTAATATGTATTACTTGTGAGGAGATACATTGTGTTTTCATGCGATGGCCAAGTCAATCTATTTATTTAAAACAAAAGATTTTTATCATGTTTATGGTCATTATAAGATATTGTTAGGTTAACTAATTACGTAATAACTTAAAACAGAAGGACCATTAAGTAGGGACTAAATAAATTAACCGACTTGGTATTACATAGATCTCGGTACTTTTTACGGTAGAAGAACTGAGATGCGAGACTTGGTTTTTTTTTACAAGTTATGTTTTTGATGGCATGTATATTACGCGATATTTTCGTCGACTGTAAACCGCAATTGATGATTCTTATTTTATTAAATAGCTTCAGGGCTGTTCTCATACAGATTTGGAGAGAACATTCTACTAAAAGTCACCTAGAGCCTTGGGGGCTCTTAATTCTTCTGTACTTTATCTTAGCACCAACTTCAGACTGTGAAATACTTTTTTTTCACTTAGTATTAAAATTTATATTTTTTGACTTTGTTAGCCGCCGTCTTAAAATTTGTTCATGATTAAGATTTGTGGTCCTTACAATTTATTTATACACATTTTATTCTCTTGGTAGGCTATATGTACAGAAGCTGGCTTAATGGCTCTTCGTGAACGACGTATGAAGGTAACCAATGAGGACTTCAAAAAGTCGAAGGAAAGTGTGCTGTATCGCAAGAAGGAAGGCACACCGGAAGGACTTTATCTTTAATTATTTTAATTTAGCATCGAATGTAACTCCAGCCCATCATAGCTCTTGCTTTGGTAATGGAGATTTTTAAAGATATGTAAAAAATAAATAACACAAGTAAATGTATTAACCCGAAAAGTATTTCTATTTCATAAATCTATTGATATATGTATGCACACATTATACGATTTCATTTAATTTACCATACCCGTGTAGTGGCGGGGAAGAATACCCACTACCTTATATCTTAATGTGGGTGTCGTAAAAGGCGATTGTAGGAAAATGAGGCAGAAGATGGGCAGCAGCATCTTTTTGATAACAGCAAACAGCAATAAAAAAACTGCGGTTGCCAACCCGCTCGCTAAGCGTGGCAACTATGGCAATATACCCCGATAAGTGACGCAAAGAAACGGCCCCCAGTTCACGGCGGCCCCGCTATTCCTGGCTACGGTGGCGACCGTGGCAACGGCGGGCCAGGGGGTGCTAAGAATCTCCGGTGGAGGTTCGGCTGCCACCTAAGACGACTTGACCTGGCAACATATAACGCATGCACACTGAGGACTGACGAGACGATCCTGGAGCTGGAAGAAGAGGTTGGAGTAGGAGAGGACGAGTTGCGCTGGGATATTATAGGATTATCTGAGGTCCGAAGAGAGGGGGAGGACACAGTAATCCTCGAATTCAGCAACTTGTTCTATCACCGAGAGGACGACCATCTGTCCTAAAGAGGTGTCGGGTTTATCGTCCACAAGTCTCTCGTTAACAACGTAAAGATTTGGAGTGTGTCGACGAGAGTTGCGTGCCCTATACTCAGAATCACCAAACGGTATTCGCTGAAGGTTATACAGGTTTACGCACCAACCTCGGCACATCCCGATGAGAAGGTGGAGGCAATGTATGAGGATATTTCTATAGTGATGCATTCCCCCAAAACCCATTATACTGTGTTGATGGGACACTTTAACGCAAAACTAGGCACAAGAGAGTACGGTGAGCTGAAAGTAGGGAAATTCGTAATAGGGCAACAAAACCCAAGGGGCCAGCAGCTGGCTGACTTTATAGAGAAAGAGGGACTCTTTATGACACTTTATGATTAAGTCTTTCTTCCAAAAGCGGCACCATAGAATGTGGAGCCCCAACGGTTCGACAAAAATGAGATTGACTTTATTATAGCGACCAGACGACAACTGTTCAGTGATGTCTCAGTGATTGCAAGGGTGAAAACTGGCCGCGATCACCGAATGATGAGAAGCACACTGAACCTATACGCAAAGTTGGAGCTAATCCATAGCCCCAAAAACTTACAATGAAGTGGACGGATATAAATGATATGTTTGTGGAAATTGTCCATGCGGTCGAAGCTAAGTTCTGCAAGAACCGCTGCAGAAGAACTGAAACTCTCCGATCACACTTTTAATGTCATGGCTGTTAAACGGGAGATGAAGCTGCAGTAGTCAGCAGATTTGACAACATACATGCAACTGAACAGACAGATCTCCAAATGCATGCGGCGGGACTTACGCAACTTTAATACAGCTCGTATTAAAAAAGCGATTGAGCGGAACTCCAAAGTCTTTGCCAGAGATCTGTCTGCCAGAAAGAGCCAACTGTCGAAGCTAAAGACCGAATATGGCATCATCGTTTCCGGGACACTGAGATTCTGAGTGAGATTGAGAGATTCTATGGGCAGCTGTACACGTCATTGTTGTAGCCACACGCGTGTGAGTGTGTAACGATCCACAAGTGTGAGTAACGATCCAAGAGTAAGTCTTATCCGACACTATTCCGATGGTATTCCGGACGTCAGTCTGAGCGAGATTAGAATAGCTCTCCAGCACCTTAAAAACGGCAAGTTCCCGGGTGAGGATGGAATTACAGCAGAGCTTCTGAAAGCGGGTGGAAAACCGATACTTAAAGTCCTTTAGAAGGTCTTCAATCCCGTCTTCCATGGTGGCACTACTCCGGAGGCGTGGAGCAGAAGTGCGATGATCTCGTTCCTCAAGAAAGGCAACAACGCTGTCGTGAAGAACTACAGACCGATTTCCCTTCTAAGCCGCATTTACATGCTATTTTCGAGAGTCATTACGAATCGTCTCGCGCGAAGACTCGACGACTTCCAGCCTCCCGGCTTTAGTACCATAGACCACATACCATACACTTCGGCAAATTGTACAGAATTCCGAAGACTACAATCTACCACTTTGTCTTGCGTATATGGACTATGAGAAAGCCTTTGATTCCGTCGAAATTTGGGCGGTGCTGCAATCCCTTCAGAGGTGCCAAGTGTACTGTCGGTATATCCAAGTGCTGAAGCGTTTGTATAGTAGGGCTACGATGGCTATCCGCGTACAGAACCGGAGTATGAAACATATCCAACTGCAGAGAGGTAGGGCAAAGTGACGTAAAACTCTTCACCACTGCATTGGAAGACGTTTTCAAGCAGTCAAACTACTGGACTGCAAAGGATATGGTATTAACGTTAATGGCGAGTACATCACTCACCTTTGATTGAAAGTCATGTGTAATGTCCATGTCACAGCTATGCCGGTGGATGTTGGGAGCACTAAGCTCGAAGTTGTTGAGTATATTTACCTGGGACAAGTAGTGCGACTAGGTAAGTACAACTTCGACCGAGAGGTCAATCGACGGATTCAACACGGCTAAATAGCGTTCGAGAGATTGCGACACATCTTCTCGTCAGGCATACCTCAAAATCTCAAAACTAGATTGTACAACCAGTGCGTTGTGTTGCCAGCGATGAGTTATGGATAAGAGACGTGGTCCTTTACTGCTGGCCGAATGATGAAGCTCAAAGTCGCCAGCGAGCTATGGAGAAGGCTATGCTCAGAGTTTCTCTGCGTGACAAACTTAGGAATGAGGGTATCCGCAGTAGAACCAGAGTAACCGACATAGCCCGATGGATTAGTAAACTGGTGGCAATGGGCCGGCCACAGCTCGAAGAACCGATAACCGATGGAGAAAAAAAGTTTCTCGAGCGGCAGACTCGTACCGGCAGACGAAGTGTAGGGCGTCCCCCACTAGATGGAGTGACGACCTGGTAAGACAAGACTGCAGGAAGTCGATGGATGTAGGTGGCTCAGGACCGTGCTTTATGGCATTCATTGGGGGAGGCCTATGTTCGGCAGTGGAATTGTGAAGAGCTGTGATGATGATGATTTAATTTATCGCATTAAGTGTCTATAATAAACGGTGTATTAGTTCAATGGTTTACCATAAACTACTTAACTTTCCTGGATATTTTCTAAACATTGACTTTCTTTGCCTTGTAAAAAGTATATTCGTATGAAAAATAAACAATTGTGATTACGGTAACCACCAAAAAAAATTAAGACGTACGCTAAGTTAGACGTAAAGACCCATATCCTGTACGTCGTAATTATTATTGGAATGCAAACTTACGGGAACGTTTAGATCGCCCTGATCATCATTCGTGCCATGATATCGCGCTAATCGAGCAATGTGTTCGATTTTCCTTTGTGGTTCTTAAATGCGGTATGTAATATCATTATTCCTTTTAACTGCCTTGTATTGTCCTTCATATCTAAATTGCAATTTCGGACTTTTTTCATTTTCCCGAAAAGGATTATAATCCTTTTCGGGAAAATGAAAAGATGAAGAAAAAGCGTGAGTTCTCTTATCAAATCCATTTGTGTTTGCTCTCCGATCATAACGAGTCTTCATCCTTTCACAAGTCTTAAGATTACTCCCGAGCCATCCCGTATCAGCTCGAGACAGTTATACACAGTACAGTATATAGTTACAAACTTTTGGATCTGTTCCGTGATTTCCATAGAGAACCAGTTATAGCGTCTATTGTGAGTCTTCCCGTCCAAAGTTTACCTTGAATTTGATCAAAAGGGATGGCAGCGGAAGAGCTCATGATGTGTAAACAGCGGCGCCTTCCCCCTGGAAGATGGTGACAGCCATCAACAACCGGCTGTAAAATACACTGCTAAATCAAAATAATCTAGTATGAAAGCACAACACAACAAAAATACATAAAACGTGTAGTCTTTTTTGTTGTGTTGTGAGTGTAGGCTCAAACGATGCTCAGATACGATCATAAACGAAAAATGCTAAGGTGCCCCCTGTAACCGACGAAACACGACTGAAACACGAATTGATCCGATTAGAGAAAGAAAACAAATCCAGAAAACCAACCTACATTTTCGATGAAATCGCTGAACAACATGGCCATACGGTGCTTAGATTGCCACCATATTATTGCCATTATAATGCCATCGAACGGAATTGGGCTCATGTCGAAGGTTTGTTTTTTGTCATAATACCTACGTTTACTACATGTTATATCGGTACTTAATTTTTTTTTACTTCCCGCTAAGAAAATTGAAACTTTTCAAAAATAAGGAAGTTATTGTTTTCACCCCAATTTTCAAAAATCGAGTTTTCTTCAGATCTCGACGTTTTGAGATCCCAGGAAGCTATTCCTAATGCCTGTTATTAGAGTAGCAGAGCCGTGGTAGTTCAGTGGTTAACGCTCGCTGTAAATATAACAGAACGCGAGTAATCCGGGTTCGATCCCCCGCCGGCACCAATGAAATTGTTAATTGCAATTTTAAGTGCTGATTTACCACGTGCTCGGCGGTGAATGAAAACATTGTGAGGAAACCTGCATGTCTGAGGAATAAGAAAAAAAATATTTCGAAGACATGTGAAGTTCGTCAACACGCATTTGGGCAGCGCGGCGGATACTTCCTTGCCCTAAACCCTCTCAGAAATGAGGAGAGGCCTGAGCCCAGCAGTGGGACGTATATAGGCTGTAACTTTACTTACTTTACTTTAGAGTAGCAGGCATTAAGAGAGCTTTCTAGAAAATGCCATGCTAGAACTTTCCACATCCAGCGCCATCTAGTATCAAGTGGCAGAACTAGGAGAGAACTTTCTCCACTTAGTTGGGACCGGTATGTGCTCGAACATTCGGGATGTTTCGGTGGAAAAGGCCTATAAAAAGCCCTTGCAAGCCGCGATCGGGGCAATAT